TGCTACGAACCACCCAAAACACCCTATCAATGTCCTAGCAACCACCCAGAACACCCTAGCAACCTCACAGCAAAGCATTACAGTCACTCAGAACATCTTAGTAACAACATAGCAACATCCTAGCACCCTAGTAATGTCCTAGCAACCACTCAGAACACCCAACAAAGTCCTAGCAACCTCTTAGAACCCCTTAGCAACTACATATCTTAGCAACCTCCAAGAACAACCTAGCAACCGTATTGCAACTACTATTAACACCCAGAACACCTTAGCAGTCATATACTTTAGCAACCATTCTTAAAGGGTTAGTTCACCCAAAAATGAAAATTAGGCTGCGTTTTACTCACTCACGAGGCATCCTAGGTGTATATGACTTCTTTCAGACGAATCCAGTCGGAGTTATATTAAAAATTGTCTTTGATCTTTCAAGCTCTATCGTTGTACTCAGCGGGTGTTGCAGTGCTTCGGTTCAAATGATGTGAAATAAAAAGCACCCTTCCACAAAAAAAAGTGTCTCACACGGCTCCGGGGGATGAACAAAGGCCTCCTGTAGCAAATCGATGTGTTTTTGTAAGAAAAATATCCATATTTAAAACATAATAATCACTTTAATGTAGGGCTGTGCAATTAATCGAAATTCAGTTTCGATTTCGGCCTCCAACGATTATGAAAATACAGTAATCGAGATAAAACGATTATTGCGCCCCATTCCACCCCCTTTCCAGTGGTGCGCTTTCGTTCCTCCATAATCAGTAAAATCATATAACGAGACTTTTGCAAAATGGGACGTACTTGATTTAAGTTGATTAGATTGATTTATGTTTTTAAAAGCGTGAAAGAACTTGCATTTCCTCTGGAAGATTACTGTGTATGCGCTCAGAGACGGAACACAACACGGACATGTAAAGTCATCTTTTAGCGCCTAAACGGTCAAATACACACAAAAATGTGTCAAAATGCAGTGCTTGGTGATTATTCACGTAAACCCTCGACGGTTATGCAATAAATGAAAGTAAAGAGTTAGGAATTAAAATACTTGTGTAACAGTAAATTGGATCCGTGCGGCTCTAAAAGGGGTCATAGGATGCCCATTTTCCACAAGTTGATATTATTCTTTAGGGTCTTAATGAAAAGTCTGTAACATAGTTTGGTTAAAACTTCTCAATGGTAGTGTTAGGGCTGTGACGGTGGCAGATTTTTACCACCGCGGTGGTAATGGACCAACTACCCCCGGTGGCACGTTGATATATAAAAAATAAATAAATAAATAAAAAAAATAAATTATATTAGTGGTGTCAAAATTAGCACGTTAACGCAGGTGATTATTTTTTCAGTTTAACGCGGTAAAAAAAATTTACGCAATTAACGCAGGGGCGGGGCTAGGGTTGACCACCCCACTCACAACTGCTCATTCTGTGACTTTTTTTCTTGTCAAGAAGTCCATTTATTCAGTCGCAGAACGTCTTTACGACCACATCAAAGGGTAGACATTTCAGATGCGCGCTCCAGCTTCACTTAAGCACCAGGCACGAGTCAAACGAGCGCGGAAATGATACTGTGCGTTTAAATTTATCGATTGACAGCACTAATTTATAATATAACAGGCATGTGATCATTGAAGATGGAAAACCTGTATATAGTAACAAACACCATCACATTTTCTCATCATAAAAGCCGGACTGCGTGGTTTCCCACAGTCTAACCTGAACTCAAGCTGACCAAACAAAGAGGACAGGCTTGTGAACACAACTAATGGCACCAGATTTCACATATGCACATAAAACACACAACATAAGCCTGACACTTTGATAAACTTAAAAACAAGCTCACAACCTTAGTCTCCAATGGGTAGTTCACATGAAAATGATTGAGTCATTAAGGAAGAATGACAATGTCACACACCATTGACTTTCACTGTCTGAAAAGGATGCAATAAAAAAAGTAAATAACACTGTCAGTCCCCAACAACTCCTTTTGTGGCCCACAGAAGGAAGGAAGAATTTGGAACATGATGATGATGATGATGATAAATGATGACAAATTTCATTTTTTTAGCCTAACTATTCCTTCAAGCACTTATGCACTAATGTCCCATTATGTGTCTCAAAACACCAATGTGATGCTCAGAAATGCTGCCTAGGTAGGGCAGCTCACTAGATTTTGAGATACAGCCACCGGCTTCTAATCAACAGACTCACTGGCTAACAGAATTCGGTGCTTGTACTGTTTACTAGCTAAGAAATAAAAAAAACAATCTCTCCAAACAGGCCGATGACTACCCAGCAGGTCCAAAACAACAGAGCGCCCTTACGTCTCGGGCCTCTTTGAAAGTGATACACATCACTGCATCACACCTCAGCTGTCCTGACCCGTTCGTGCACGCGTACACTAGACCGTTATGGTTTAATATTGTTTTTTAAAATGAAGTTACCTTGTAGAAGGCCCCGTTAGAGCCGCGCACCTCCACCGCCAACCCGTCCATGTTCGTCGGCGTGTCCCCACGACTGTGCCTCTCTTTAAGCGCTCCGACAGCGTGCGAGTCCGGAACCACCCCCAGCTTCACGGGCCTCTCGCCGTTCTCCGGCCGCTTGTGTGTGTCCAGTGTTTCGGGTGGGAGAGGGGGCAAAGGTGACGGGGGGAGCACAGGAGCCACAGGGAAGGGTTCAGCTCCGACACCCTTTCCAGCGGGACAAGTTAATAGCTCAATAATGGCTGCTAGAGCGCGAGAGAAGCTCGCACGAGTGCCGTTTGTGGCAAATCTGAAGCTGGAATTATGCTGTCTAATGAGGCTGGATGAAAACGAGGAGTTAGCACAAAAGCTAGCGCAGCCACTAATCAACGGTCATCGACACCTTCTATCACTTGAACTCACGGTTCTTGTATATGTCGGGGTGTTTTTCGTGGGAATCCTCTCTACTATGTCTGAGAACGCTGTTGATTAGGACGTTAGTTCTTTAATAAGACTGTAATGCTGCGCTACTTCAACCTTCCCCTCCAGCACACGCCGTCAGTCAGAGTGGAGCAGCAAGACTGTGAATGACCCCGAAATGCCCGCCCATCTTAGCTTTCGTGGTTGTGATTGGTCTATTGCGCTGCCACTCACACACAGCTGCGCGCTGTGATTGGCGGAAGTGTCGGGGGCCGGTCGACGCGGACCCAGTGGTTACGGCTCCTGGTTCGCCGGGCTTTTTCTGTTAGCGCCAGTGTAGTTGCTATATTTGGGTGGCTCTGTTTTTTGACGAGACCCACCGATTCACAAAAACTCTGATACATGTCATGTAAAGAAAGACGACAGTTTCCAAACGCTCTTTCTTTCTCTATACTGATATACCGTAGGGAAAAATGATAAAGGAACATGAGGCGTAATATTTATCTTACAGCAGAGTTTTGGAACAGATGCTTTGGGGCCTTTCATAATATCAAACACACTGTGCAACCGCATGAATCATGAAATGCACTAAATTTGAAACACACTGGTTTCACTTTGAAGGCTTTAGTGCTTAATGCACAACCGACTGATTTTGTACGACAATTTTTTTAATCTTTAAAATATCCTGTTTTTCTTTTTGAATCAGTCTCGAGTTCTAAACTAATGTACACAAAACTGTTGCTTTGTATAACTCTTACAAGTCTCTGTTTGAAGTACCTTATGGCAACATTCGAATACAATGGAATATGTAATCAAACACCATGGAATATCCACTGATATAATCCCACAATACTTTTGTGAAATAGATGTTGGATCCTGAAATCTCACAGCTTCATGACTGGTGCTCAAATTTAGTTTTATAATAGCACATGCTATGGCATTTTCTCTGGACTGATATCTGATATAAAATGAAACAACTGTACCATTAAGGTTACCTAAGCACAAAAAAAAAAAAATGTCTACAGGATATTGGGATGCTTAACAACAGTTGTGGAAGGTGCTCCCGGATGTTGGCTGATTTGATGTCACTTACTGATGGGTGAGAAATGACACGCCAAACAGTTTGACCAAATGAGAGGGTGAGGAACTCAGGAGGGGGTTAAAGGCATGAGACAGCTGAAGACAGCAGATGTTGAAGGACATGTGTCAAACATCAGAGGATGTGAGGACGTCTGAACAGATCCAAGCAACTGCATTTGTGAAGGGTTTCATATAAAGTGAATTTGGAAGTTACTGTTTTATAAGAGAAATTTGTAACATGATCCTTCAGAAATCAGTCTAATATGCTGATTTGGTGCTCAAGAAATATTTCTTATTAATGTTGAAAACATTTAAAAAAGGAAATGAATAGGCTATTTTTATTTAACACTATTGCATTAAATGGATCAAAAGTGACAGTAAAGCCATTTATAATGTTATAAAAGATTTCTATTTTAAATAAATGCTGTTCTTTTGAACTGAATTTATTTTAAATTATAATATTTCACAATATTACTGTTTTACATGATTTCTGATCAAATAAATGCATAAGCATAAGCATAAGATACTTCATATCAAGTTTCAAAAATAAATAAATAACTAAAAATAAAAATAATTTTAAAGATCCCAAATCATTAGTCAAGCAAAGAGGGGTTATACACCGAGGTTGGTGACAGAATTGTCCCACTGAGGTAGATTTATAATTTTGCATGACGCCACAGTCAGTCTGCAACAGGTGCAAGGAAAACAGTCAGACATAAGCTGTGATGACCAGTCAAAAAAAACAACAACAACAACAACAACACAAAACCCTCTGTAGTAAACACACTCATATGTAGTGACATTTTACCACCAACAGAGGGTAATGTAGCGCCACAATGTCCATATGTCTGTTCCCACAAGGTTTTGGGTGGTGATGGTAGTAGAGCCTGAAATATCTTAACCTGAAGAGGAATCAAATTGAATTGCATCTTTTATCCACAGAGCAGCAGTATTGGGTGCATCTATGAATTAAGGAGCTGAATTGTTAACGCAACGCTTGTCGGTACGGTCAAGTGGTCTTGCAGTTATGTAGCTCAGTCATTCTTGAGAAGTGGGACAAAACAGGGTGCAAAATTGAAAAAATAAAACCTTGTACTCAGACAAATGAAACTACATTTATGTATCTTATATGTACTAAGCTACTGAGCTATGCTTTGATACAAACTCCCAACTTTTCTCTTTTTTAACAACATGTGCTTTTTTACCTTGGACTGTGTAATATAATTTCAACTTTATCTTTAACAGCATTCAAGATGTTTTTAACATTTCAAAACACATTCTCGTGTTAGCAGACAGATTAATCAAATACACTGAATCAGTCAATTACTGTATTAAAACAAACACAACAAACAGTGAGTATGTTATTGTTTATAAAGCTTTTATTCAAGAGTCACATTTAAGTATTTTGATATATCATTGGAACACAAAATCTTATGGTGGTGACATCTGACGGTGTTGACAAATTTGGCATTTCTTTCACAAAACCAATGGAGTTCATGTAGTAGCCATTTTATTTTTTTCTGTTGATGCTAGATGCCAATGGAACCTGCTTCAGGAAAATAAAATTATCTAAATATTTAAAATAATTTCCTCAGAAATTGGAAGATGGCGTTGACATACCATGGTTGTGACAAAGGAAATATTAACATTAGGATTTAAAATATTCTAAAACTATAAAACTTAGCAGAGCCTGTCTGACACTGATGTACTCTGCAGAGGTGAACTGTGGCAAGGGGGTCCTTTAGAGTGACAGCTGCCCCTGATATTCCCTGATTTTATTACATTTTATTGAATGTCTGACGGTGTTGACAAAAAGTGGGGACGCAACTTTAAAATCGTATGAAACATGCATGTGTCATTAAAAAAACAACCTTGCTTTGATAGGAGATATTATTAAGTGTTGCTTTTGATAAAACAAGCTCTTTTTCATCATTAAATTTTTTTTTATCCATTTTATTGCATATGAATGATTGAACCCTTCTCTGTGGACACACTGTTTTAGACGTAGTGAGAGGACATTAAGAAACACAGATTTGGAATAATAATGAGAAAATTAAATTGAAGGTGATAATTGTGTTAAATACATTCTATTATTAATCCCTCATGACATTTAAAATTGAAAATATTTTTATTTTTAAACCTAATAGCAGTTACCCTTGCTGGACTTGTTTTGTCCCATGTCTCAAGAATGACTGAGCTGTGAGAATTAAGTGTCTCTTTCATTATATATTTTAGTGCATGCTTTACAGTTGCTCAGTGTTATTATACTTATTTGTTTACATTTTTGTTTTAGTGCTCATTCAAATGCAGACATTGATTTGGAAATCTGTCATCTTTCCTTATGTTCCACATACAGGTTCTGAGCCAATTATTTGGGTTGTAAATGGCATGAGACTAATCATTCTGGAGGCACAGACAACTAACGTCATTCTCGGACTGTTAGATAGCAACACGCAGGCCCGGATTGGCTAATCGGTAGCACCGAGAGGATTCCCGGTGGGCCAGTCTGTTTTTTGGCCGCTAGGGCCGGTGTTGTCATGCCACTGGGTTGAACTGTTCCTAGGCTGCCTGCATTCATAGCAGCCTCACTCTTTTTATTTATTTTCTCGCAGGCCATATTATTATTTTCACCAGATCATATCAGTAACAAATTCTCAATTGATAACTAAAATAGATAACTAATCATTATTTTTGCGGAAAACATTTAATCTACCTGAGGGAAGACGTCTTTCATTGTAAGTTAATGCTGTTAAATAGAGGGGAAAAAATGCATTACAAAAAAAAAAACAAATAAAATACTTCTTGCGTAGGCTATTCTTAAACTTGGACCTCATTACTGAAGTAAAAATCCAAGCACCAGAAGTGGCCCACACCACACTATGCATTTTCATTCATTCAAAGGCTATAGTTGCAATAATATTTTAGATCAAAACTTTAAGTGCCATTGTTTAAAAAAAATGCTTTATTGACTGACGTTTCATAGACCTTCAGTTGTTAGATTTTCAAATTTCATGCCATTTGTAATTTCACAGTATTTTCACCTCCTCAATTACACGTGTGAAGTCACAATTCTATAATGGTACAATTTACTCAGGCCGATGACATTTTTTGTATGACATTTAAAATTATTTTTAGAATAATTGTACATAAATAGGTTAAGCAAAACAATTGTGATTATTTTTATATATAAAAAGAGAACTTTTTAACTGCAGGCAGACTTAGGCCTACATTATGGTACAGTATAAATATTTGGAACGTCCCTTATTCTGTCCCTTATTTTCTTAAAAAATAAACACTATTTTCTTAAAGAATAAGAGAAAGAATCACAATTGTCCCTTATTTTACATTTCTTATGTTAATTGGCAATGATGACGTAATTATCTTTTGACTCCCCTGACAGCGGGAAAAAAAAGTCATTGTTGGAGATATGCGAGCAAAAAATAATAGATAAAAAATGTATAATAGAAAGCGCAAAGGCGGCACTGAAAAGGCCAGTAAAAAAAACCAAAAAAACAACAACAAAGTGGGCCGGTCTGGCATGAAACTCCAGGGCTGAAAATGAGTCCCACTCCGGCCCTGGCAACATGGGAACACACATAGTCTCAAGCCTTTTAATATGTGCATTTCACATTTTTAACAGCCCTTTAAGAATCAGGAACTGCAAACGTTTACTTCACTATATACGCACTTATGCACCTAATGTGAGCTTTCATTTTCAGTGACAAATGAACCAGAAGCTGTATCAGCCACTATTTTTTACTAAGGATTTCACTCTTACAACAAACGGTTAAAAAATTAGAAAAAAGGAAAAAAATAATGCAGCACATTACTGTTTATCAGTGTTTATTGTTGCATACTCATACTGTGTAGTTTCACATTGTATTTTAAAAAGAGTAGGTGGTATATAATACTGCATAGTAAGCAGTACTTTATTATTCTATTCTGAACATAGCCATTTTCTTGCGAAGATGAACATATTGATATACATTTCAGCTCTCTAGTGTAAAGGCACCCAAAGCAAGCACATGCAGTCTCACTCTAGGCATGTAGTTTCTTTCATTTTAGCAGTACAGAA